GGGGGGCGAGGGGAGCCTGCCGAGGACATTGTGATTCAGTGGCTGGCACGGGCCGCATTCAGCGCCCTAAAAGGATATCACGAATGTGCCGGTGGTGTGAGTGTGGTCGTGGTAGGGCATACGGAGAGCGTAACAACTACGTACGTACGTACTGCTGTTTCGATTTCGTTCCTCTCTTTTTATTGTTTTAAATTTAAGAATTAGTAGTAGGTGGTGAGTGGCGGTGGTGGCCATCGGTTTCCCCGCCCGCAGACTGTGTGTATTTTTAGCCGAAAGGGTAGGCGGGCGGGGCTATTCGAGAAAGTAGCGGAAGAGTGCAACTTTTGACGGACGGGAGGGTCGCCGTCCCGAGTGGGCGAGGGAGGGTCCAGTCCACTCACTCGAGCGAGCGGTGGTACCCGCCGCAGCAGCCGGCGGCAGCGCAGCACCACCCTCATACAGTGCGGCGAGCTCAAACTTTCGGCACCGGCACCTCTCTCGCTCTTTCTCCCTCTGCCACACAGCAGTGACCAAGGATTATCCCCTACTGCGTAGATAAAACGGATCCATGCGCTTCCACATTATTTGCTTTTATATTCGTAATTTCGAACGCTTAAGCGTATTTTATGATACACCACTATCTTCTCTATTGTCTACAACCAAAATCCTAGATTCTTAGAAAAGGAATGGTTTTTGTTTTGAGTATTTTTACTTAGCGTTCCAAAATTATTGTTGTCTTTTTCTAGATTTTTTAAAGCAAGTAAGTCTCGTCGAGTTTCAAACCGTATTGTTCACAGCGTATAGTTTATTAGTTTTAATTAATTACGACTATAAGTAGACCGGCAAAGTGCTCTGCTAATGCAAGGTAATGCGAGACGGGAGATCAATTTACTCCCTAGCGGCAGCGAGGATTGAGAAGTGGTGGATAGGGGAACTTGAGCGGGGTGTGTTGGGTTGGGGGAAGCGGGGGGGGGGGGAGGGGGGGTTCCTGGGTGCGCGGGGCTGCGGGAGGGGGGCTGGCGACCGCTCGCGGCATTCTCTGTGCGTGAGTGCACACGTGTGTGTGTGTGCGTGTGTGTGTCTGTTGCTTTGTGCCCAGCCGCCCCGCCGCTGCTGCTGCCTCCGCTACTGCTGCCGCCGTGCTGACGAACTGATGTATTCTGGCCGAGATTCCAGTCATGTGCCAGCAGCCCCAGGTTTCAGAGCAGCAGGAGGGGAGGGGGGCGAGGGGGACGGCGGCGTGGGGTCAGAAAGG